TTTGCTACTGGCGACCTGGATGAAACGCTTTAAAGCTTAAGTCTATGGAAAACCATTGAAACTTTGAACGGCCATATCTCCGTAACGGCGCGGCGAATCCGCACCAAATTCGGGGGATCCCTTCAGCTCGAGGAGCCCTCTCGAACGCCACCCTCGGAGCGTCGGTAGCCCCCCGGGATCGCTAGATCGGTCGGCGCCGGACCACGAATTTAACCACCCGTAACTCCCGAACACCGGGGGCTATCCACGCGGGGGTGGTCTCATTCGTAAGCGGGCCTCTAGAAGCATGATTCACTTTTGAATATCTCCACATGCTTGTGATCATTTTACAGCTATGAGGACAAACTTTGTGGGCTGTGTGGGGACTACAATGAAGACCCTCAGGATGACTTCCAGACCCCAACTGGTGAAATGGTCCAAAGCCCCAATGACTTTGGCCACAGCTGGAACATAGACCCTGAGTAAGGCACTATGCAAGACATGCTGTTACAACTAAAAGCCTTTTCTCTATTAACTCAGATCATAGAAAACTCACCTCCGATTCTGCCTTCAGGTGTAACAAGCCTGAGGTTGGCCCACCCCCAGGGTGTACAGATGCTGAGCAGGAGTTGTATGAAGGGTCTGCTTACTGTGGTATCATATTGGACAGCAATGGCCCTTTTGCTGCTTGCCATCCAAAAGTCAACCCCAATGTGAGTGAAATCAAATCTGTTAATTTGAAATGCTTTTGAATGCTTAATCATACAACAGATATTTACAGATCTTAACCCTGTGTGTTTAGGGTTTCTTCCAAGACTGCTTGTTTGATGTTTGTGAGCTGGATGGTGCTCATTCTGCATTGTGTGAAGCAATAGAGTCATACGTCAATGAATGTCAGGACCGTGGCGTCACAATTGGACCCTGGAGAAACAGCACCTTCTGTCGTATGTCTGAAAAATACATATTCCTTAACCATAAACTTGGACAAAAAATACAGACACGAATGGCTTGTCCTATTTCTCGTACTGTCAAATAGAGCAAAGTCGCAAAATTATGATTAGCACTAACACACATTCTTCCTCTCCAGCTCTGAAATGCCCAGCCAACAGTCACTTTGAATCATGTGCACCAGTTTGCCAGCCTTCCTGCAATCCAATTCCACCAAGTCAGTGCACCGGGCCCTGTTCTGAAGGATGTGTTTGTGACCCTGGATATATCCTCAGTGCTGGCCAGTGCGTGAAAGAAGACACTTGTGGTTGCAGCTATAATGGACAATATTATAAGGTGAAGAAATTGAATGTGGTATCAATTTGGACAGAAATGGTTTGTTATAGTCGATTAACTAGTATTTTTCATGACTTTCCCTCTCTCCGTGGTTTTAGCCAGGTGAAGAGTTCTTCACTAAGGACTGTGAGCTACTGTGTAAGTGCAACCCCCCATTTGTTACCTGTAATGCTGCTGACTGCCCACCAATGGAACAATGTGGAGTACAGGATGGCGTAATTGGGTGTTTCCCACAAGGTGAGTACTCTGGTTAACTCAGAAAGTGTTTACACATTTAATTTTCAAACATCCATCCATCCAATTTCAGTCATGCAAAAGCAATAATGTCTTTTTAAAATAAATGTCTGACTTAAAATCATACAAGTCCAGTTTTTGCAATGCTGAGCTAACAGATTGCATTTAGATGCAATTATAGCTCGGCTTTGTCCAGCATACATGCATGATAAGACAACAATTGCCATCAGCTTTGTGCACTGGCTCTAAAAGGAAAGATATGATGTGTAATTATTCCTTCTAAATATTAGATTATGTATATTTGGCTGGAACGATGGAGACTGTAGCTTGACTATGCATTACTTTATATAATAGTATTCGATGGTCATAGGATGTTGTATCAATTTCAAACAGGTCATAACATCACAAACTTTTCATTATTTACAAACAGTGTGCAACAGTAAACTATTTAAGTTTACACATTCTAGAGCTTGAAAATAGTTCATCAATCTCTTTTCTCATTCTCCCAGAATCTCAAGACTGTATTATCTCTGGTGATCCTCATTATAACACTTTTGATGGCAAATACTACGCCTACATGGGCACTTGCACCTACACTCTGGCCCGCACCTGCAAAAATAACACTGGTAAGCAATGGCCAAAGCCAACTTTCCACTACCAGCAGTAACATTAGAGTGCTTTGGTCATCAGTAGGTGTTATGAAGCAGCAAACTATTGTACTCTTACTATTGATTAAATGTACATTAAATGTCCCCCAAATTAACTTAAAAAGTGATTTCAAATAAGAATATACATGTACAGCTTTAAAAATAACTTCACTTTCTTCTGTCTTGGGACTGCAGGCCCCTGGTTCTCCATTGAGGGCAAGAATGAGGAGAGAGGCATTTCTGGCGTTTCTTACCTGAGGAAACTCTATGTGACTGTAGATGGCATCACTGTGACAATGATGAAAAACAGGAGAACTCTGGTCAGTATCCACAGCAGCTGCCTTCATTAAACCATCATTGAAGCCATTCTGTAATCTTGATATCAAGAATTGACATTTTTAGTAAATGGCCACAATATATTTTAGTCTCTCTTAGATTAGAATCTCTGGGATTATGTTAATGCACACAATAGTTTTGAGACATTCCTCTTATCTTATATTTTCTCTAAATTGTTCCTAATCTGTTCATAGTAACATTATCCTTATGACAATTTTCTGTTTTCCAAGAATAATCTTGTTTTTAAAGAAAAAAACATAATTAGCCTTCAATCCACCTCTGGTTTCTCTCTTTTCCACACACTCAGGTGAATGGACTCAGGGTGTCTCTCCCTCACTCCCCATCTCCGCTGATTTCGCTGTCTGTTGCTGGACAATATGTAATCCTCACAACTCCGTTCGGCCTGAAGGTGCAGTGGGATGGCAATCATTACGCCAAGATCTCTGTTCCCAGGTAAAGAAAATGTGAAAAACGCCTCACTGGAATATATACACAGTACTGACAGTATTTTGCAGAAAACACTAAGACCCACAATGATTAAGGGTTGTAGATCTTCAGTAAAATCTGCAAAAGAAAAATCAAAAAGCATCTCTGGGGAAATTAATGTCTTTACATTAATATAATTTTGTTTCTCATTTTATCAGTTCCTACTATGACCAGATGTGTGGCCTGTGTGGGGACTATGACGGAAACCCCAATAATGATTTCACTAAGCCAGATGGCTCCCAAACCGACAACTCAAGTCAGTTTGGCGACAGCTGGCAAACTGATGAGGATGAGGATGCAATGTCAGTACCTTTTACTTTTCTTAATTTTATCAACCGCACAACAGGCAGGGCAATATATTTAAGATTAGGTTGACTTCAAATGCTCAGTCATGCCTTAATAATGACGATGTGTTTTCAGGTGCAAGCCTGACCCCGGGCCTCAACCACCCTGCGATCCTGTGCTGGAGGGTGTCGTGTCAAACCCAGAGAACTGTGGGAGAATAACTGACACAAATGGAGCATTTAGGTTAGGACTTACCAAACTATGACATTTTCTGCTAATAAACAATGTTGAATCATTCCATTTGAAATTAATCAGCATGGTTTATAACAAATATGCGTGTTATATTATTCATACCATTTCTAACATGAGAAAGACTATTAGAAAGACTTTTGAAAAACTTTTAAGTGCTTAATAATAGCACACTTTCTCTCATATTTGCTCCTCACAGGGACTGTATAAAGGTGGTGGACCCGTTGCCTTTCTTCCAGAGCTGTGTGTTTGATATGTGCCGTTATCAGGGGCTGCAGCAGGTCCTTTGTGACCAGCTTCAGGCTTACACTGATGCTTGCCTGAGTGCAGGTGCACCTGTCCATCAGTGGAGGGAGCCAGACTTCTGCCGTGAGTCATTCTCTCATTTATAGTATCATACTGCATAAGGTGTAGGGTTTGATAAATGGTTTGATCATATAATATAGCAGCAAAACTTGGCGTCTTACATCCATTCAAGAATCACATTCCCAGTGATAAGCCTGCTTTCAGCTCCCCTTAATGCACAATATAAATTATTGAAGTGAATGAAGAGGTTAGAATAGCAAAGCTACACTTGTGTCAGTTTAGCCTTATTATTTTTTTTATTATTTATGGGGCTTTTATGCCTTTTAATGAGCAACTTTTAGCAACAAATCAACCTTCCTTTAGCAACTTCCCCTGAAAATTAGTTGCCAACACTGGCGGTACTAAACTGCAGTGGAAACGCAAACCGAGCCAAACCGAGCCGTGTCGTGCCGTACTGAGCCGTACCGAGCCGAGTCGTACCACGCAGTGGAAAAGCGCCATAAGGCTGACCCCCCGGGGTACTGGGGCCGAAGACAAGATTATGAAAATGGGACCCCCTGGAGTAAAAATTGTGAAAGTTTTGATTTAAAATATCCAAAGAACCACTGCAAACACAACGAGTAATCTAAAAACATTAATTTCTGACGTTATTCATAATTTTAGCTTTTGTAGTTCACCTAAATAGCAGTTTGACAAATAAATTATTAAAGATAGATGGAAACTGAGTAACTTATAGGTTATGCATTTTCACTCTATTCTTTGGGCCTGTTGTCTAAGTTTGTCATTATTCTTACGAGAAAATGACAAGCACGCCGTCTGTCATCCAAAAGTGCTTTAAACACTACGTACACAGCAAAAGCACCAACTCAAATAGCCAAACAGCAAGCTCTTCCATGACTTACTTTTTGTGTTTCTGTCGAATGTGAGCACATTTGACCAATCTGGGGATAAAATTACTGTGAAAAACGAGGTACTCGCATTCCCAGCAATGCACCGTGGCGTGAATAAATTATGCAAATTATTTGAATTCTTTAATATTTATTGTTTTACAGTTTGCTACTTTATTTGTGCTGTTGTTGTTGTGTTTCACTTTCAGATAGTTTGTAGCTTTCAGTTATTTCTTGTTATGTTGTTATCATTCAGAGCACATATTTTAAAGACTTTTTATGCTTGATTCTCGTTAATGTGATTTATGTGTTTAATGTTTATTTATTAATTAATTAATTAATTTATTTATTTATGTAGCTATAAAAATAATTAATTCGTTTGAGTTAAATGTTTTATTAAGTCCCTACACAAAACAACATGACACTTGTCGCCACCTACTGGACGAAGGAGTCTCTGTACGAATCAATGCATGAATCTTTTGGTAAACAGATTTAAATGAGTCGAGTCACTGTGATAAATCAAAACCCATGCTAGTAGCGTCTATACCACCTATTGCTTAAAACAATGCACAATGCAGGTGTTAATGTTTAAAAATAGGAGAAATGTGCTTGACTTGTGGATTTCTAACATTCATATCAATGTGGCCATATTTAGGTAAATGAGAGCTGGTATCTGGAGGGCTGTACACAGAAGTGTACATGTGAGGGTGGAGGAACTATTCAGTGTTACAACACCAGCTGTCTTCCTACTGAGAGCTGCCAACTTCAAGATGGAGTCTATGTCTGCAAACCACTTGGTAACAAATATAAAACTAGTTTACACAGTTTTAGCATCTTATCAAATACAAACATGCAGTTCTGCACAAACCTGTTGACACGTAGAACTAAACTTTCTGAGTTTTATCTCTCCAATTTTTAACTCTTTCTGTTTTAGGTACAGGCATTTGCTCAGTTTCTGGTGACCCTCATTATAATACCTTTGATGATAAAGTACATCACTTCATGGGTGCCTGTTCCTACACTCTCACTAAGCCCTGTAATGAGACCTCCGGCTTGCCATACTTTTCTGTGGAGACACAGAACGAGCACAGAGACAATAATAAGAAAGTATCTTATGTAAGATCTGTCATCATCAATGTGCAAGACACAACAGTCATTTTGGGCAAGGGTCGCAAAGTTCAGGTAAGGGACATTTCTAAGATTTGTGAAACATAAATAACAGATTACAGGAGATCAAAACAGCAGTCCATCCATGTGCCTACCTTATTTATACATCCTGCAGGTGAATGGAGTTCAGGTCACTGTGCCTGTCACACTTTCAAATGGTATTAAGATCTTCCTAAGTGGCAAATTTGTGGTGCTCGAGACAGACTTCGGATTGCGTGTCCGTTTTGATGGAAACCATCATGCAGATGTCACCTTGCCTTCCTCCTACAGCGGACTGTTATGTGGACTCTGTGGTAAGGACTGCAACTTCAGTTATCTAACTAACTGATGGAGATTCAAAAGCTACTTTATACTGCTACTAACCAAATATTAGTAGTTTGATGTCAGTCATTTTAATAATAATATTTTACAGGAAATTATAATGGTGATCCTAATGATGACAACATCAAGTCAGATGGAATGCCAACAGACAGCACCAATGAGCTTGGAGAAAGCTGGCAGGTGCCCGATGACAGACCAGAGTAAGCGAAAGCATATTTGTGACCCTGGACCACAAAACCAGTCATAAGGGTCTTTTTTTTTTTTTTATTGAGATTTATACACCATCTCAAAGCTGATGGAATAATAATCATAATAATAATAAATAAGAATAAATACCTCAGCGACTTAAGACTGGTTTTGTGGTCCAGGGTCACATTTAATCGTGCACTGCACCAATGATAGTAAGATTTTTGAAGATCATTGAAGCTTTTATCATTCATGCCTGTTCCTATCTCGCACAGTTGTACTCATGGTGGAGGAGACATTGAATGTGATGACAAGATCCAGAATGAAGCAAAGAAACCTACTAGCTGTGGCATGATCACCGACCCCAATGGTGGGACACGCATGCATTCAAACATACATTTTAAAACGTTTTAATGATAAGGTCACTGAAAAAATACATAAAAAGCTTTATCTCAATTAGTAGTTTGTCATATTATTTTTATAGGTGTTTTTATTTTATTTGCCTAATTTTATTTATTTATTTTTTATCCTCATATCATTTCAGATCAGCATATGATAGAGTTTGTTTACACGATGTAATAATTGAATATTCTTTTGGGGCTTAGCGTCACATTTCTTAATTTTTAGTCAACATTTGCATTTGTAAATGTTATTCCACCTTATTTTGTTCTTAATTAATTCATTAGAATAAATCATGTTAGAACGCATGATTATTTGTCTGCTTTGGGCGGTTTGACTACAATCATTGTAATACATTTTGGATTAAATGTTACCAATGACTTGAACATGACTTGAAGAGTAAAGGGTAAATGTACAAGAGGCCTCATTTTACTCTATTCATGACTATATTCCAGCACACCTGTTCATTGCATTGAGCTTCTCAGTTTTATAGAGCTGTTCTATGACACGACACCTGTTTTATGCACCATTAAAGCCTACTTATCATTCTTTTCCCAGGAATCTTCAAGACATGTCATGCAGTGGTACCTCCCGGTCCTTACTTTGAGAACTGTGTGTTTGATCAGTGTGGCACTGGTGGGGCCACAGTGGCACTGTGCCAAGCTATTCAAAGCTATGCTGACCTGTGCGCTCAAGCTGGGGTGCCAATTAACTGGAGGAATAACACCTTCTGCCGTAAGTGTTTGAGCCCTGCAGACATTCTGTAATATGCCCTTAAAACTTGCAATTAACTCTATCCTGGTAACCTTTTTAAGACTCAGCCTTTGTAGTGTGCACGCTTCAGTTAGGGAGTGATCAATGAGTGCTGTTTGTCTTTTTTGTGTTTCTAAATTGGCTGTTTCCCATCCATCCTTCTCTCTTTTCTAACTATTTTCATTCATTTTTTAATTTGTTTTTCATTCATTTCATTTCTCTTCTGACACATTGCAATGGTTCGTTTAACACTACTCCTTTATTTCCATTTCTTCCAGCTATTAAATGTCCGGTTGGTAGTCACTATGAGCCGTGCGGTTCAGCCTGCCCAGCCAGTTGTCAGGACCCTGGATCTGAAGGCATCTGTTCTGAGCCCTGTGTTGAGGGATGTGTGTGTGACCCTGGTTTTGTCCTCAGTGGAGACAAGTGTGTGCCCTTCAGTGAGTGTGGTTGCACTGACAGAGACAACAACTACAGGCCTGTGAGTTCTTGAGAAGACTGAATGAAATTGACTAACTTTTAATTTCTAGTTTAGGCTATGTCCCTTTGTGCATTTCAATTCTTAATGTATATCTGTGTGATTTTCAGGTTGGAGACAGCTGGTTCACAAAAGATGATTGCACAGAGCGCTGTGTTTGTTCACCTTTCAATAAGGTGACATGCGAGGCATGGCAATGTGGTCCCGCTCAGGAATGTAAGGTCAATGAGGGTGAACTGGGCTGTGTGAACACAGGTACATACTCTACATAATCTATCTGTCTGTCTCTGTCTTCTGTCTATCTATATCACTATCCATCTATGTCTTTTTATGTGTCTGTTTATGTATTTATCTGTCTATCTGTCTGACACATGCTAATCCTTCTTTGCAGGAGTGGGCATTTGCCACATTGCTGGTGATCCTCACTACTACACTTTTGATGGCATCATGCACACCTACATGGGTACCTGCACTTATACGCTGGTGGCGATATGCGACACCTCTATGGTGACACCCTTCACCATTGTGGCCAAGAACGAAGAACGCGGCCAACCAGAAGCTTCGTATGTTCGCTCTGTGACCGTCTACCTGCCCACTGCCAACATCACCATCAGCAAGAGTGGAAGAGTACTGGTGAGAGCCCGAGAAGGAAGGAAGGAGAGATGCAGTAGTGGTTTTTGACTAGGCTGCATTTGCATGTCTTCTTCTGATTAGACATCATGAAACAGTGTCATATTGCATAATATCATAGATAAGATTCTAAACAATATGTATTCAGTGATATGATTGTGCTAAATCTCTGGCTTGTACTCATATCTGTCCTCTCCACCGACTAGGTGAATGAACGCAGGATAAAAACCCCCTACGACATCAGTTCAGCCAAGGCGCGGGTGTTCACCAGTGGAGTAAACACCGTACTAGACACTGACTTTGGCCTGATTGTGAAGTTTGATGGAGTGCACCATATTGAAATCACAGTCCCTGGAGACTATTTCAACAAGGTATGAAACTACACAAAAACATAGCTAGAACATAACCCTATACCTGATATTTGTTGTAAATGTAGTCTTTCGATACAAATGTTTGATTAATAAACCAGATAGTTTCTTTTTTTGTCCAGATGCCTGAATTGCAATAAGAAAAGTGAAAGAATTTCCACGAGCAGATTTTGATCAAATCTTCCTTACACATATCACTCACAGCTTTTCCTGTTTTATAGGTGTGTGGAATGTGTGGTAACTACAACGGAGATTCCTCTGATGACAACTTGATGCCTGACGGCAAACCAGCCAAAGATGCCATTGAACTTGGTGACAGCTGGAAGGCAGAGGGAGACAGTGATCCTGGGTGAGTGTTAAATTATTTGGTTCCTCTAAATACCTCTCCATAATTCAGAAATAAACAAACCTAGATAGATAGCAGCATTATAGGTGCACTTATGGTGCTTATGAATCTGAGCCAATCATGGTGAAAAATCAGTACAGTTTCACTTGTCTTCATTCTTCTCTTGTGTTCATCCATGCCTCGCAGATGTCAACCTGATCCACGGCCAGATGACAAACCCAACTGCGACGAGAATGAGGAGGAAATCTACAAGTCACAGTGCGCGGCGTCTATCCTGTCTGATCTCTTCAAGCCCTGTCACTCTCTCATTCCTCCAGAATCTTTCCTGGGGAACTGCGTCTATGACATGTGTGAATATGATGGCATGCAGTCGACTCTGTGCGATAACATTGAAGCTTACGCTCAGGCCTGTCATAGCGCTGGAGTCACGATCAGCTGGAGAAACAGCACCTTCTGTCGTAAGTGAAAGAGGGAAGGAAGGATGAAGAGATGTGCTGAGAATGTAATGCTGAGCTGGGTGACAGGAGGAAGAATAATTTGGCTAGAATTGTAACGATCAAAAGAGCAGAACTTTGATGCTGATAAAATTAAGCATTTATGAGATTCTTCATTGATAACCTCTAGGCTATGCATAAATATTAATGAATTTCTATGCATATTTTGAAAGAAGAAATGGTCTATGAGTATGTCAGAGAATCATTGTCATTCAAATCCAGTGCATCAAACTTCTTTCCTTTGTGTTTTTTTCTTTCCAGCTCTCCCGTGCCCACCAAACAGTCACTATTCTGAGTGCACAGCACCATGTCCTCCTACCTGTGCCGATCTCTTCCCCGTATTCTGCCCATTACCACCCAATAGCTGTGTAGAGGGCTGCCAGTGCAATGGAGGTTTTGTGCTAAGTGATGGCAAGTGTGTTCCCCTCTCAAGCTGTGGATGTGTTGACAGCAATGGAGAGTATCATGATGTGAGTAAAGTTGCTAGAATTCCATGACAGTCGACTGAAATATTGAAATATTAATATAATATTAAAAAAAATTTTTTTTAAGAAATTGATACTTTTATTCAGCTAGGAAACAGCTAAAATGTAAAAAAAAAAAATTATAGTAAAACATTGATAATTTATAATGTTACAAAAGATTTCTATTTCAAATAAATGCTGTTCTTTTGACCCAATATTGATCGAAGAATCCTGAAAAAAGTATAATGAAAAAAGGTATTAAGCAGCACAACTGTTTTCTTTGTTAATAATAAGAAATGTTTCTTGAGCTTATCAGAATGATTTCTGAACGGTCATGTGACAAAGAAAACTGGGGTAATGGCTGCTGAAACATTTAGCTTTGCTTTCACAAGAATTTATCACATTTTTAAATATGCTAAAATAGAAGTTATTGTAAATTGTTATAATATTTCATAGAATTACAAGTTTCACTTTTTTGATCAAATAAATGCAGCCTTGGAGAATATAAGAGACTTCTTTCTAAGATTTAAAAATCTTACCGACCCCAAACTTTTGAACAGTAGTCTGTCTATTAAAGAATTCTGTTCTTCAACTCATTATTGAAATCATTTTCTACGTACATGAATTATGGCAAAAACACGATACTTAAAGAATGTACAGTATTAGAAAAAGGTGCTGTAAAGACGGCCGTGCTTTCATTTTTTGTCACAAAATGTTACAATACTGCCTGGTATAAATTTTAGGTGGGAGATTCGTGGATAACTGACCACTGCGAACAGAGGTGCAGCTGCAGCCTTGGAGGAGTGCTGTCCTGCACGTCCTTTGAATGCAATGACAACTCAATCTGTGATCTTGACAGCAATGGAGACCGTTACTGCAAACCTGAGAGTGAGTTTAGGACAGGTTTACAATGAGAAATACTAAGAATGAGGGGAAATAAAGTCAATTTACTTAATTCAGACAAATTCAAAAATGTGTATTTATTATACATGAATGACCAAAAATTGGCAACAATTTTATCTTAGTAAGGACTACTTCATGTTTCACGTCTCCACGTCTTGAAGTTTTTGGGGTTTAATGACTGCGTCTTGTGGGCATCTAAAGAAATGTAAATGTTTAACCCTTGAAGCAGGTTCAAAGTTAGTCTTAATGTCCACCTCAGGAATGAACTAACTCAAACCTCTTTTACTTCTCATAGAATTCGATGACTGCAATATTGCCGGGGACCCTCACTATCGTACCTTTGACAAATACAATCACCACTACCAGGGAGCATATACCTATGTATTAACTCAGAGCAACAATCTGCCCAGCTCCCTCACCCCTTTCATAGTCCGTGGCAAAAACCAGCGGCAGGGAGGCATCAGCCGGGTGTCGCTCCTGCGTGAGGTCTATGTGGATGTGTACGGCATTACTGTTCGCTTTCAACAGAAGAAGAAAGTGCTGGTGAGAGATTCACGGGACATGTAGTCAATCCTAATAGTTGTATCTAACAGACGTTCAAACTACTACTTCATAAATGACCACGCAATATAGTAAAATGCCAATATCATGGATGTCTTTGCATTTTTTTCTCCATCAGGTCAATGATGAGAAAGTTGGTCTACCGTTCAGTCCTGTACGTGGAGTTAACATAAAAACAAAGTCTCGCTTTGTTATGCTCACAACTGACTTTGGCCTTTCTGTGCGCTTTGATGGCAATGCTCAATCAGGTAGATCAAAACTTAAAATCTACATAATTTGTCAAGGATTTTTTATGCACAGCTTTGCATATTTTTTTAAGTATTTAATAACAAAAACTCTCTCTCTCTTTTTTTCCCTGAAGTGGTGACTCTGCCTAGTGTATACAGATCTCGTGTGCTCGGTCTTTGCGGTAATTATGATGGACGCACCAGTAACGAGTACACAAAACCAGACGGCACAGTTACCCGCAACCTCAATGAGTTTGGAGACAGCTGGAGAGTAACTGACAGACAGGCGGGTCTTCGTACCACATCCCTACCAAAGATGGTGCACCTACACAAGTACGGAAGAATGCTATGCATTATAAATCAACTGGGAAATTCTCATGTACTTCACTCTAACCATATGAACCATATGAAAAATCCTGTCTTCTTTACTATTAGGCGTGAAGTGGAGGCCGATCCAGATTCAGGGTTTGAGACGACGGGCTGCACAGATGCTCTGCTGGATGAGCTGAACGGGAATAAAATGTGTGGGGCTCTCAGTGACCCTGCTGGTCCTTTCACTGCCTGTCATGCTGTGATCGCTCCGAATGACTTCCAAGAGTGAGTAATGTGTGCATGTGTTTGAGGGAGTGTGCACTCTAGGGACAAGTATTTGTTTACTTCCTGAGCTCAGAGAATAACGTAATGCAAAAGTGGGTGTGTGTTGCGCTAACTATGTACAAGAGTGTGTGTATGCGTGTGCGTTTGACTGAGATAAACTTTTGATATGCGGGTGTTGGTACGGATGCACAGTCCTTCATGACCGTGTGTGTGTTTGCATTGCAGGGATTGTGTGTTTGACCTGTGTGCTGAGCAGGGCAATGAAGAGCTGCGCTGTGAAAATTACGCTGTCTACGCTCGGGCTTGCCAAGATCAGGGTGTTGAACTAGGGCAGTGGAGACAAGAGCTGAATTGCGGTATGAAAAATAAAATAATTTACACAATGTAGACTTTATCCGTTCTATAGCAATATAAACACACAAAATGTTTAATTAAAAAATTAAATAAAATAAAAACCCGGTTGAAAATCATAGTTTCCACAAAAATATATAGCAGCACCACTTTCAACATTGATAATAATAAGAAATGTTTCTTGAGCACAAAATCAGCATCCTGCAATGATTTCTCTAGGATCATGTGACACTGAACATTCAGCTTTGCCATCACTGAAAAAGAAAACATGTAAAATATATTATAATAGAAACATTATTTAAAATTGTAATAATATTGCACAATATTTGTGTTTTATTGTATTTGTGACCACATAAATGCAGCCTTGTTGAGCATAAGTTTTTTGTTTAAAAACATTTAAAAAAAAATGAAACCCTAAAACACATTTTTTGAGATGTTAACAGGTTGCACATCAGTGAAAACAACAATAGCACTCATTATGTCTATTATTAAGGGAAAATTGGTTTTGTTTTGTTTTTTTACAATTTTTGGAGCCATTTCGTTCATCCGTTTCAAAAAGCAAAGTTTAATTAATGTCACGAAAAGTGACGTATATGCATTAATTTGGAGAGGTGATTGGCTGCGTTGGCTGGAGAGTACACATCTACGTCATCAGTTTTCTGAGCTTTTCTCAGTATCATTCATGAAAATGTACTCTTATGATCCAGTCACTGCGCTGTATTATGCATGAGGTCGTATTACAGCGGAGAATTTAAAATGTCACGATAGAGCTTGCGCGCTGTCAGTTCACCTCTGCAAACATGACTGTAACAATACGTCTGGTCATGAACGCGATGACACGACGGATTATTGTGATACACAGCAAACAAGAGACTAGTGCTGGGCTGGCACACGTGAAAATGCTATTAGAACTTTTAAAAGTTCTTCTTCATTTTTCATATAGACCAATATCTCTGCTTATATTTGTTTCAAATAATAATTTATCAAAACATATTTGATTTGTTCATGATAGTTGTTAGTAGTCTCTAATGATAAGATTTCTTGAGAGTTGGTTATCATTATTATTATAGTTTTAAAATATATCAAGGTGGCGCCTACCTCCTCTTCACTCCTACTTTTCCTCAGCTTTTTACACGCATATTTCTGGAGTCTTTTTCAAATCTAAGGTGTGAAAGACCAGTGCTAAAACAGGGGGGGTTCATGACACTTTAAACAATTGCAAAAATCAACTTACGCAAAAATAAATAAATAAATATCAAATATAAATGATAGATTGATTGATTGATTGATTGATGTTTCTTCTTTTGTATGTTCTTTCCTGATTGTGTGTGTTTGTGGTTTAGGTCTGCAATGTGGGCCCAACAGCAACTACTCCGTCTGTATGACTCCATGCCCAGCATCCTGCGCAGACCTGGCGGCTCCCTCTGAGTGTGAGCAAATACTGTGTGTGGAGGGATGTATCTGCTCCCCTGGCTTTGTCCTGAGCGACCAAGACTGTGTGCCTTACAGCGAGTGTGGATGCACTTACCTCGATCGCTACTATCTGGTGAGTCTTTTGATGCATGTAAAATACTACAGGTTAAAGGTTATGATGTCAAATAAACTGCACAGGTCTTGATGATCATGTTTCTCTGCACCTTTCCACACGCAGCTGAAGGAGACATTTGTGACAGAAGATTGTTCACAGAGTTGTGAATGTACTACCACTGGTGCTGTGTGTCAAACAAAGGGCTGTGGAGACAATGAGATCTGCACTGTGTACAATACCAAACGCGACTGTTATAAATGTGAGCTATTTCACTCTTTATATTATCACAAGATGTTCTCAAAATATATTTGATAAATATATATTGCATAGCTTTTAGAGTTTTCTAGTCTAGAAACGATACAGAATTGGATATCATGTAGTTACGTTATTATATTACTATGGAAGCCCATTTCTGCCATGCAATAAAAATAATTGTGAATTTGTATATAATTCATTAGAATTGTGAGATATAAACTAAAAATTCTGACTTTTTTTCCTCAGAATTCTGAGTTTACATCTCACAATTCAGTCCATGTTTTTTGTTTTTCTCACAGTTTTCATCAGAATTGTAAGATAAAAACTGAGAATTGTGAGAAAAAGTTTTTTTTTCCAATGGCGAAAACAAGCTTTCATATGTTACAGATGCTTCTGATGAGTAATGCACTGATTTTTAACTTCTTTTGCCCTCTGTCTCTCAGCGAGTCCATGTTTGAGCTCGCCCTGTGAGAATGATGGGACCTGTGTGGAAAAAGCAGATGGTTCTGGTTACACCTGCACTTGCTCTGAAGGTTTTGAGGGCACAAACTGTGAGATCTTAAAAATCCCCTCTGAGGGAGGCCTGGGTAAGTGAATGGGAACAGACTGTATTCATTCCTAATGTAAGATTCTTAATCGAACTAGTATTTGCATGCCTAAAAATGAAACCATATATGCCGGCCATGTGCAATAAAAGTTTTTTCCTGCTTGCTGTTTTATAGATCAAACAGCTATTATCTTGATTGGAGTCCTCGTGCCCCTTGGCATCATCCTCATAGTCACAGCAACTGTTTGCATTTACAAGAAGTGCAGGTAAAGCCCATTTAAAGAATAAAGGCAGATCTAAATACACTGATCTTGCAATAAAGTCAAATCCTTTCCAAGCCAATCCACTTGAAATAAGGTGAATTATTTATAAGGTAAATTAATGATTTTTTATCCCTTTTTACACAGCCGCAAAAAGATAAGTTATGAATCAAGTACATTAGAGTTGAACAAAAAGACAGGTATGTGGTAACTGATTATTATACTTTTTTCTTTCTAAAAAGAAAAAAACAACAACTATGAAATGAGCAATGCGAGTTGTAATTTGAGCTTTTCTAAATTTGTCCACAGATCAACCCTATGAAACTCTAGATGAGGGTAAGAAGCAGGAAACAGACAACAGTGTGCTGAAGGCCACAACATTCTGAAGCTAAACCTCAGTTTTTTGACACTGATTTGCTGACAAGATTTTGATTATATTTATTCACTTTAAATATCTTTGTGAAATATGTGAATTAACAGGCAAAACCTATGTTTATATTTTACTTTAAAAAAAATTTTCAGTAACTTATTTGTAAACATCGTTGTAATTTTTGGTGTTAGCAATGTTATGATTTGGGTAATGAGTGCAATTATCAAATGTGTATGAAAATCAGATTTTTTCTTCTGAAAATATTTTCTGTGCTTTATTTTTTATTATTTTAAATAAATTAACAAAACAATTTATGCCCTAGCTGCTTTTATTTAACTTGTTCAAGTGCAACAATCCAATAACCCACAACATTTTCAAGTGCAAAGCAGCAGTTCATAGGGTTGGAGCTGAACTCTGCAGGACTGCGGCTCTCTAGGACCGAACTTGCCTACCCCTGAGCTATCTAAATGATTGAGTTCCACAAGGACTGTCCTCCAGAAGAGCTTCTTGGTGGGTCTTGGCAATTCAAAAATGGCTGAAAGTCCAAACAAACAATACAAGAGCATTGCCTCAGCTCTGATACCTTTTGTATAACTTCTAACCTCAAGCTATTTATACAGACTGGGAGTAAATCCAATGGTTAAGAGTTGCCAATTAACAATTGTTCTGTGATTTGCCTTGTCAAGAGGCTAAAAAAAAAAGAATCCAAATGTTTTTGAAGTTTTGAGTTTTTGATCCATGCTGTTCAGGAAAACATCAGATCCAGTCACCAGTCCTTTGAACATTCCTCTTTTTTCCTCCAAAAAAACAAGTTACAAAAAAATTAAATAAAGTGCTTACAAAAAAAAAAAAACATGATAGTCCAAATCTTTTTGTTCATAAATGATCTTATCGTGCCAAGCAACTTTTCTTCACAAGTTGTCAATGTAAAATAATTATTAGATAGTCCAAAACAAGAAAACTGACCAAGATGCAAATATGGAAATGACAAGTGAAGTGAATTTAGAATTTTAAAATTAAAATAAGTCACAGTGTTTGTATTAAAACATATTATCTACATCCACAATGCGGTTTTGGATAATTGTTACATTTCCACAGGATAAGAGGTCTGTCTAAATATTATAATCGGACACAATATAAAACCATGTGCAACATTCAACAACAAAGGAAAAGGTTCTTCAGTCCCAAGGATTAATCAGTAGTCCTCACATCTGCACAGAAATGTAAACATTGATAAAATAAATCAATCGTAACCCCATTAAATGGCACAATGGGGTGACGCTTTAAGCCAGTTGATTATTGATTATCACTACAGCCTGAGGGGTTGTACATATCAAGCTCTCTGTTAAAGTCTGATGTTCAGTGTAAATGCATAGAAATCAATACTACTGTATGACCAGCATCTGCCCTGATGCTTACCGGGAATTTGTTCCCAGACATCTAGCGGGAGAGGGGCAAGATAATTATGGAGCAAAAGAAAAATGATCCCACATGTTTTTTGTGAACACACACTCCAGTAGGAATGTGACAGCATATTTCCAAAGCCATGAAGGGAGGAGCAGAAATAAAATGGCATCTGCCAATAACACAAGCTCCACCTTCAGGAACCAGAAGTGACTTGATTTGGTATTGAAAGGTTGTGTGATCACATGGGGAACCTGTATAAGTTTAACAGCTTGATTGACTGGAGTGTTAACATTAAATAACAGTGAAATAATTTGATGAATAAAATAAATACAAATTTAACAACACACATAACTACTGAGTAAGGAGTATCAGTGATATGGAGGACGGCACTACAGTTACACCGCAGGGTACAATTAATCCCAGACCAAAAACATTCCAGTGTGCAGGACTGAAAATTTAAGAAACCTTCTGATTGCTCACAGGCACAACATTGCAAACCATCTTTCAAGTAATTAAGGAAAACAATAAAAGCACTTTTACAAAGAGGAATTAAATATGGGCAGGGAAATGTTGGCAGTACTGACAAATGAAATTTAAAGACATTCAAAAAAAAAATCTATCCAATAGTAAGTAGTAAACAAAGAAAAACACAAATTTGTATGTGACATCTTTTACAATGGATATGACTAGGCCCAGACAGAATCTGCTGAAAGGGTTAGTTCACCTAAAAATGAAAATTATGTCATTAATTACTCACCCTCATGTTGTTTCAAACCCGTAAGACCTTCGTTCATCTTCGGAACACAAATTAAGATATTTTTGATGGAATCTGAGAGCTGTCTGACCCTGCATAGACAGCAACACAACTGAAATGTTCCCAAGTCCAGAAACGTAGCAAGGAGATCTGTAAAATAATCCATGTGACATCAGGGGTTCATCCCCAATTATACGAAGCTACGAGAATACTTTTTGTGCGCAAAAGAAAAAACAAACGACTTTATTCAACAATTCACCCTGTAAACAGCGTATGCTGTTCTGTGTCAGCTGCGTCACACGGATACGCTGTTTCCGTTCAGATCAAATCACAACAACGTAGGAAACAGTTCCGGCGTGATGCAGCTGACACAGAACAGCATACATTGTTTACGTCCAGCTGATATTCTCCAAAATGGCGCTACAGGGTGATGCGGAGGAGACGAATTGTTGAATAAAGTTGTTTTTTTTTCTTTTGCGCACAAAAAGTATTCTCGTAGCTTCGTATAATTGCGGGTGAACCACTGATGTCACATGGATTATCAAAAATATTTTAATTTGTGTTCCGAAGATGAACGAAGGTCTTACGGGTTTGAAACGACACGAGGGTGAGTAATTAATGACAGAATTTTCATTTTTGGGTGAACTAACCCTTGCATTCTTTGCCCTGATTTTTGGAGACAAATCTACAAAATAGATTTAAGCAAACACAATGTGTTTAATAGAGTGCTAGACTCATTTGTGGCTGAAAACATAGCCAAACTATTAAAAAAACAAGCGTGCATGGGGCCGGTCCTATGGAGAATCAGTTTCTTCAGAAAGATTTCTGAGCACACAGATTCCATGTGGGTCTGGGTATGACTAACCATAACCATCCATTCTCCCTTTAAACAGCCATTAATACAATATTTTAACTTGTATGTAACACAAGTTTCAGAACTTCATGACTCCAGTGAAATGTCCTATGGATAAACAATAAAAACCCTGTGTGTTTATGCTTTCTTTTCATTCCTTCTGTCGAAATTGTCAAAAACAGTAGCTGCATGTAAATTGCATTGAAATTATTTTCAAATAAACATAACTGTACAGCATGTAAACAATGAATGCTGGTAAAACGAAAACAAAAATACATATTGAACTGAAACTGACAGACATTAAACCACTTTTTCGATTTACATCGCTTCAATGACACGTGGCTCTTTCCCAAAGTTCAAAAATATCCCTACTTCCTCTCCTCTGTGTGTGTGTGTGTGTGTGTGCATTTAGGTGTGTGAATCCAGTACCAGCACCTTGCACTCACGCTTGGCAATTTTGTCAAGTGACAAGATGTTCCTGTCTGGAGGGAGGTACAGCGGCCGTCCAACAGGAGAGCCCACGGGAGGGGTGATGGCCCTACGCTCCATAACACTGCCTGTCCTGTAAGACATGAACATAGACATTGATCTGTGCTGCATAAATGAGACAATCATGATTTGACAAAGAAAACATTGTGAAGTGAGGCAGTTGTAAGAGGATGTACCAGTTTACCATAGGCTATATCAGAGTTCCTGCCTATGTAGACAGTTCTAAATCAGTCAACTAAGATCTTCCATTTCAGTTAGAATAATGCTGTAGAACAGGTGTTTTTCACAAATATTACTAACTTGTAAAGACCGCTAAATACATTCATGTATAGACCCATTAATACTGTGTGTGATCAAAAGTTTGGAGTCACTAAGATTTACCAAGCTGCATTTAATTGATTAGTAATATTGTGAAATATTATTGCTTTTTAAAACAAGTGTTCTATTTAATTATTGTTTAAAATGTAATTTATTCCTGTGATGGCAAAGCTGAATTTTCAGAAGCCATTACTCCAGTCTTTGGTGTCACATGATCCTTCAGAAATCATTGTAATATTTGGTGCTGCAGAAATGTATCTTATTATCAATGTTGAAAACAGTTATACTGCTTAATATTTACTTTAAAAAATCTCATTGACCACAACCTTTTGAACAGTAGTGTATATCGTCACTGCACTAAAAAGAAAATATTAAATTAAACGAATTAAATCGTTAAAAAATTTTTGGTTGGTAGTGCATCTTTGTTCACCCACTGTGTAAGTAAAATCAAACCTTTAAAATTAATTCAAATAAACATTTTTTAATTACTTACTATTAAAAATGCTGTCAACAGAAAAAAACAAGTAATCCAAACAAAAAATAAAAATAAAAAAACACACAAAAAAGGAAATTTGTTATATTATATTATTGTTAAACATATTTAATTAATATATAGTGTGTACAGTGTACGTGAGAGAGACAACCTGTAAGATTGAACTGTATTTACATTAAGTGAAATAGATGAAGATCATCTGTTTGTGTGTGTGTGTGTGTGTGTGTGTGTGCACGTTCAACGCTATACCTTGTGAGGTGAAACTTGGATGGCTGCTGGTGAGAAAAGGACTGAGAGCGGCCCAGACTTAGACTGGCCTGATGTCGGTCCAGAATATCTCTAACCGCTGGACTGGACGGACTGTTCTTGCGGGACAACGGACGGGCATCAGGGGGAGGGTTGGACACGGACGCTGTGAACTGTAGCTTCAGTTTCATGTGCTGACTCAACTAAAGACAGAGAAGACAGAATAGCGGATATTGAGGTGTGTAGATCCAGTAATCTAACTCATTGGTTTTGTTGAAGGAAGTGAAACAGAATACGGAATTGCTCACGGCACACACATATTACTCTTTACCTCAAAAAGACCTGCTCGGAGTATCTGGAAAGCCACACTGACGGAAAGGGTACTGCCTTTTCGACAGTAACCCAGGTTACTGAGAGGAGAATGACACACCACTGCATTCACTGCAGGATCCTCTTTCTGTCCACGACCTGAGAAGAAAAGAGAATCAAAAAACATCTGGACATACAGTACAAAGCAATATTTTAGTCATGATCAAGCAGTTAACACACACACACACATCAGGCACATTGAGATGTGCTGCTCGTACAAGATATGCAGGTTCTATTCTGACCCTGGTTACGTCCTAATCTTTTTAACATCATTTCCTGTTCTCTCTGCACTTTCCTTATCAATAAAACAGCCTACAAAAAACACAAAAACAAATAAGCACAAAAAGAAGCCAAAAACTACAATAACATTAAACATTCTATTCATAAAGACATAAAAAAAATAAAATCAAAATATGAATGCGTTTGGAAGGGTTATTGTCCATCTGCAATGTCCAATCAGTCAATTTGCAGTCTGGGTACTTTTACTCATGCGTGTTTGATGTGCCAAGCCTGACATTAGCTCATCTGGCATCACATTACAAATACTCACATACACAGCTACAGCCTCAAACTCTGTGTTCTCTACATCTACAAGCATGAACCACACCCTTTATGAGCAAATAACATTTAGCAACTTTTGCCTTTGCGCTCTACTTTGCTTTTATCAGGCCTGTCTCTGATAGTGTGGCAACACTTTTTCCAATGTTTGCAATATTTTTTATCAACTTTGCAAACAACACTTTTTAATTGACTGTCAATCTCGCATTGCTTAACATCCTCTCACTTTAACTGCTACATTTCCCCCCTTTGGTCGAACACTCTTCTTGACACTTTTTTTGAACATGATCCAAGAAGTCTCTCTCCTCCCTCTTTAAACCAGTGTTGTTAATGTTTACTAAAACTAAAACTCTTAAAACATTGCTTTTGTTAATTGAAAAAAAGCTTAAATAAAATGCAATATAAATATTAGAAAATAAACTTATTATAGTGGATTTGGGTGTCTGCCATGACACTCGCTGTGAGAAATACCGCAACGTTGAAAACGAGAAAACGTTGGAGTTCTGTTATCACTCTAATATCACACTCTTATCAGCCATTTAGATTCAAGGACCGGATAAAATAGATAGATAGTTGTATGTATTTTATATATATATATATATATATATATATGTATATATAATATAAATATATATATTTCACATCCTGCCCAATATTGTCCAACGAAACAATGCATATAATGTGCATATTATGGGTTAAAATCACATTGCATTCTAACATTGTAACATTGCAATCTAAAAACAAAAATAATGCTGTTAAAGCAAATGTTAAATTCACTAAACTAAAAAATGAAAATAAAACATTTAGTGTGTTAAATGTGTTTGGATTGACGTGAAGGTGCGACAGATTATTCATTCATGAGTGAACTAATTAAGGAACTGCTCTGGATTCAGTGAATGAGTAATCAGACTGACTAATCTGCGTTTGAGAGTCGTTTTGAATGATTCATTTAAAGTACGACTCAAGAGTCATCTGATTGTGAATCGTATTAAACTGGTCTCGCTGTTTCTTTTTGCATGTTTATTTGCTTTGCGGTCATGTCTCATCATTCAATCCAGACTCTCCCCCTCGCACCTTTAAATAATGATCTGTGACAATTGATTCAACATTAACTGTTTAAAACAGCATTCGCTTTTGTGTGCTGCTGCATTCACACTCCAGACAATCATACACCTGAAATGTCTTTTTTGCAGAATGTGGGTCTTGACGAACCGGTGTGTTTCTCAGGTTTAGTGACTGCGCTGGGTTGTTGAGTTTGTCCGTGTGTTGTTTGCAGAGGGTGTGTGGAGAGGCACAGGCGAAGATGTTTGGGAAGTGTTGTCAGCTGAGGCCTACGGGTGGCAGCTCCAGTTCACTGGACAGCTTTCCATTGATGTATGGTTTGTTAGGATAGGACAATATTTGGCCGAGATACAATAATTTGAAAATCTGGAAAAAAAAAAAGCAAAAAAAAAAAAAAAAAATATATATATATATATATAAATATATATATAATGAAAACAGAAAATTGAAAAATAATACTATAATATTATATAAATAATACTAAAATAACACTGCTTCAAACATATTCTAGACTCAATCATATACCCACCACCAGGAGCGTTTCTAGCCTTTCATCAGTACTGACCCCTCATCAAAAAAGTGCCCCCCATATTTTAACAGTCTTTTTTAATACTCTTTTTTGATATTGTTATGGATATATAGATATAAATTGTCTTTACCTGCAGTACAAAATCTTTCACGAGCTGCCTGCCCAATAAACTGCTTCACAGCTGACAAACTGATTTTCTTTCCTACAATAGATCGTAGGTAATAATCTACCTCTTTCAGTGTCTCCTTTTTGTTTTCTGACTTACAAAATATCCCATTGCACTGTAAGAAACAGCTGCAAATGGTCCAGTGCTTGAATGTACTGTCCATATGAATCAAACTGAATCACAAACCGTTTCAGACCTTTTGGCAAACCTGTTTGACCGATTAGATCAAAGTTAAAGAGTAACTAATTCACGATCTGGCATCACTAATTCTAATGCTAAACAGCTGATACTCAACATGATTTCTGAAATATTGTCCGAACAAATGATTCTCGGGTGTCACATGTTAATATATTAAAGCAGTCACACTAATCGGTTCAATCACCATGCAGCTCCATGCAGCCATATGTTCTTAAACTTAAGCCACTTGTTTTTACTATTTTACCCTTCCTCACCTTCAGGCGTCCAGACTAGACGGACTGCCAGAAAGTCCTGCAAGTTGTTGAGGAGGGTATATCGCACCCGGAAATGTTCGTGAGCCTTGACCGCACTGGGGCAGCTAGCTGTCATAATGAAGCGCGGTCGGTCCAGTCTCACACTAGGGAGACTATAGTGAGTGTAGATAGAGTTGGTGAAGGGCAATTTAGAAGTGGACCACTGCAAGACTGCAACTAATGGCACCTCTAGTCCCTGCAGCAAAAAGAAACATGACATTTCATTAATACTATTTATTTAATTTATACATTTATATCATCAAAGTTTTAAATTATTGCAAAGAAGATAAATGGCTGTGGGATACATATTTGTAGCCTGTTATCACTCAAAATATCCTGATGGCCCACCTCAGTTGAATCATCTTGTGGCTGGTTATTGAGCTGCAGCTGGAAGAGAAAGTTCTGCTCCTCTAGAGCACTGAGCATGCTGGGAAGGTGACTGGACTCGCTGTCCATTCTATAAAATGATGCCATGGCAACTTCTCCTGACTGATGACTGAAGCAGATAAACAATGAGATAAACATTAACACAGACTCTCTCAGATGCATCTGGCTGATTCTATAATTGCAGGAACATTTGGTGTCCAAAGTCTTTTTTTTTCTCTTTTTTTTCAAATACTTATATTTTTAATTATTTTAATAATTTGTTACTCATTGTCATGGATCACAGGATTTTACAGGCCATAACAATATAATATTTGACGTAAAAAGTGTCTTATATGGCTAAAAATCATGATTTCTTGTTGTCCGAATTAGTGTCAATTCTGTTACCAAGGTAGAGTGACAGTGTTGACAGTATGTAACAGAATGGACAATCATACACAGAGAAACACACACACACGACTGTCAATTCTGTTACATACTGTCATCATGATGAAATCATGATTTTCAGCTATATAAGACACTTTTTACAAAAAAATAAAGACAGACAGTTGACCCTGAGAGGTCAAGTAAATATCTACAGCGGATCTAAATATTTGTAATTAATTATAACTAGTTATGATTAATTATTCATATTTCCCCATGAGCTGATTCGCTACAATATAATTTTTTTTTGTTTGTTTGTTTGTTATGGCCTTCAACATCTTGTGATCCATGACAATGAGTAACAAATTATTAAAATAATAAAAAATATAACCATTTGGACAAAAGCAGAAAACAAAATTATGACTTTGGACACTAAATAGTAAGGCAAACTGGCAAGGGTAAAATGCATGAAACATTCAAAAGCAAAAACTGTAATTTAATATTAAAGTATGGCATATTAAAAAACATAAAAACACGCGCAAAAATCCTTGTGCATGATTGTATCCCTGTGAGCCATCAAGAATAACAATTACAATTCCTCAAGGAAATAGCAGTGCTATTTCATATATATATATATACACATGAAAAATGGGGGCAAAAACAAAAGTATTGCGTTTATAATTTTGTGCAGTGTATATTATACATATATATATTCCAGGAAAAGAAGACGAAACACAATTCAGTATGCATTGATTTAAATAAAGAATTTAATTATTATGTTGATATCATCATGATCAGTTACTTTTTAAATGTTAAACATTCTATAACCTTTCAAATTAAAATTTTAAATTTCCTAAAATTATGATGTTTACAAATTAATAAATTGTCAATAAGTAAACCAATCCATCTTGTGTTATCTACAAAACAATGTTTAAACATTGAAGTGTTTCAGGCTGAATAAATAGCAGAAGTTTATTAATCAGAGACAGGAATTTATATCAAACCATAATCAGAACGTTTGAGGATATACTGTAATCACACTCACAGGTGTGCGCGGTCACACGCAATGTTTTCTCTTACCAAACATTGTCCACCAGCAGCACCGAGCCATCTGGCATCATTGGTAAGTATGAAGCATTGAAGTTGGGAAGGATCTTGATGTCACGCACACACACTTCCTCTTGAGAACTTGCATTTAATACTGAAACAGTCAGATGTTCAAACATACATAAACAGGACGTCTATCACACAAAGATACAGGAAACCACAAAAATAAAAGTGATGCACTACAGCACTACAGAACTACTGCCTATTTCTAGCACAAATTATGACTACTGATGTGCTTACACTATAGCAGTGGAGACAAAAATCTATGTTTGGGACTTTTCTAGCCATGAAGCAGCTGAATGAAACTGAACCATGTACAAGTCCTCTGTTTTCTCATAAATGCATTAAAATGTTTTGAACATAGTTGACAGATTTAAAGAAAGGACATCATAATAAAGCCATACAAACATATCCAAGCATTCTCCCATGAACACTGGGTGGATAAATATGGGAATAATTACTTCTATAATGAGGTATAAATGTCTTTGTTCACTCCCTTACATTAGGACCACCAAAGGACCTATTATATCATCACAGAAGACAAACAGACACTCGTAGTTATGAAAAATTCACAAGAGAGGCTTCTATTTTGAAACTGAGATTTTAGGACAACGAGAATCACAGTTACATTGATAATTAAAACACCTGCATGTCATGATAAACATATACCTTTCAAAAGTTTGGGGTTGGTAATATAATGTTTTTGAAAGAAGTCTCTTATGCTCACCAAGGCTCCCCCCCCCC